AAACGTCGCGTTACTCCTTGTGCACCCATTTTTGCTAGTAAATCCGACACTTGATACCCTTCCCGAAACTGGTGTGATACCTAAATCTCAAATAAATTCATCAAATTCAATAATTCCTCCCAAAAATCCCACAAATACCAAACAGTGCACTTGCGTTTCAACATCCATTCTACAACAATCTTGGAATCACATTCAACATCAACATGGAAAACTCCTATATACACCCAAGTTATACAGTACAATCATAAAAAAATACTTTTTAACTAAAGAGGTCGGGCAAGGGCCGCGCGAACACAAGCCTCCACTAGCACAAATTATGACATAAGCTCAACTGCTGCAGCTCAATACATGCGCACTGCCGTTTATTCTATCTAAAACTGAGTTAAAAACAAGTAAAGAAGCATATATATCAGGGCGTTTCTGAATCCCGTCATGCGCGTTGAAGGGCAGTACAACTTGTGTTGGTGCTATTTAGGAGATGGAGCGGAGTTTACTTCATGGAAGAAGCGTAAATGAATGTCACCATCACCTTATCTTTTATCATTGTTGTTGCTTTTGTTTATGGATTCGTTTGCTCATATCAAACTTGAATTGACTCTATCTCCTTTCTCTGAATTTATATGTTAAGAGGATCCCGAAAGGCAGACCAAGGGATTAGTTTCCGCGTGATGGAATGCAAAGCCAATGACTTCAGTCGAACAAGGTAATGGGTTTTAGCCTTTTAGGTATAGGATCAAGAAATTGGCTCCATCTTATATCCTTGAGTTTGTTTGTTAAGAAGAGAAGCCCGAAAGACAAATTCATGAATAAATAGTTGAGTTTCATCGTGATAAAATGTGAATTCCTAGTTGCCAATGAAATTGGCAGTAAGACCTCCAATCTTTGGATTGATGGTGGCAAAAAACTTGACTAATCTGGAGTCTAATATCAATGTATACAAAATTGTGAAAGATACGCAGTCAGGAATATGCTGGTGGGATTTCATATTTAGTCCAATCCCACATCGTTTAGTGAGTGTTGGGATGAGATAATGAGAAGCTATAGAAAGCGGCCCAGTGAGAAGAAAAGGCATGCAGCCGTGCGGTGAGCACAAAGCGAACTATTCTTTCGCCTTTTACTAAAGAATACCGTGTGTTCGCCGCAAACAGCGGCATACAACAATTTTTGGAGGGGTCTTTTCCAATAGGGATTGCCCCCAACCAATTTTAGTTCTAATGTTTGTATCTTACTCAACAATGTGTGAAAGATTTGAAAGTTTAATCTGCAATGCAATTTTTAGTTGTCAATCTCGAAATCAGTTGGGTAGCTGGGCTGATACTTTTTCTCAAAAATAATAATTCATTCTAACTGATTCGTTCGTGTTTTGGCCGTTCTAACTGCAATTTGTTTCAATTATTTCATCTCGCGAAAAAATTAACTGAAGTTGTAGATAACCGAGTAAAACACATTATTCGGATCCAGATGCGTATACACCGGACTACATATGGTCTAGTCCAACGTACTATTAGAGAAACATTGTTTTGCGGTGATTGTTAATTTGTGGAGCATCTTGAAATCAGACTTCAATAACGAGAGCATGCTTGGTTTAAGATTATGGCAAAGTTCAGCATTGCATTCAAGCTTTTATTTGAATGATAGCGATAATGAGTTGCCATGAAGCTGTTTCACCTTTGAGCCTCCATTTAGCAAAATTTATGAACGGTTTATTTTCAATCTAATGTCGAATAGATGACTGAATGTATTGAAGAATAATTAGGCCGGAAAAAAAAAGGCAATATTGCAAATGTGACAATGGAGCTTTGGTTTGGCCCATAATACCATTCCAAAAAGAGAACGACGAGATGAATATAACTCATTGTTTTGTTGTGACATACGGTGGATTTTGGTCATCGAGTTCGTTTAGGACTCGAAAACTGCATTTGAAGTTTTAGTATTATTTTTGTCATTTAGTTTATTTTGAATTCTTTTCAATTTTATTGCGTTTAAATTAGATTTTCATTAAAACAATTATAAATAAAGGGTCACTTCATCATTTTTCACCATCTTCAATTAATAAAATTCGTGAGTTGGATTTCAAAATTTCGTGTTTTTGAGGTTTTCTTTTGAATTCCTTGTTTCGCACTACGATGACAATCATACTTTTAAAAGTGTCCACATGTTTGAAAATGGCTAAAATGAATCAAATGCCATCTTTCCTCGAATGAAAATTAATCCTATTAAAGCCTAACTAGAATCCTAAACTATATCAAGTTGAATCATAACCCACCATTTGCAGCCAGGTTATCTAATAAGTTCGCAATTAAAGAACAAAAGCTGAAATTTTGGACTGAGGAGTTGGGCAGGGGCCGCGCGAACGCAGGCCCCCACTACCACAAATTATGACGTAGGCTCGACCACTTGGGCCGACCTTAGACGGGCGCCCCTCCTAAGTGCAATGGAAGTCGCCAACCTAGGCCATGAGCCTTCTTGATCACCCATTGACCCCGTCCAGGTAAGTATGTAATACCGACCCACTAGGTCCTATTTTATACTACTGCTAAGCGCTTCTTATTTCTTGCTCTTACGATGTGGGTTTCTTCTGAAGACATTATAGTACATTACCATTAAATACCTGGTGATTTCCTGCATTACACTAATAATTTGGTTCTCTTTCCCAATAAATTGCCACATTCATAATTAAATTTATTAAAACATTATATATTTCAATTTTTGTGCAAAGGAATATAGACATTTTTGTATATACTGAATATAAAATTGGAGATTATACTCTTGGATAACTTTCTTATATGCTTCTGTTTCCCAGTTAGTTTTGAACTCTAAATCCAACACCTTAGTGATGCTTTTATTAATTCAAATTTTCATCATAATTGAATTTAAGTTTTCTTGGCTTACGAGAGATTAAGTTCATATATAGCAGATAAACAGAGGTGGAAGTACATAAAGATTAGACTAGGAATTTCAGATATTCTGATAATACTAGGAAAATTTGAAAATTTAGTGTCATCTTTCACAAACCGACTTCGATTCACATTAATATCGACGAACACCGTCTGGAGATGATCCATTTTGAATGGGATGACCAGGAGAGGACTACTTTTGTAAAAGAAACAATGGACTAATGTTCTTAATTGTGTCGTGAATAGTCAAAGTGTTACTAAGCTAATACATGACCTGTGGGCTCAATCCAAAAAATAACGGAAGTAAAGAAATAAAAAGAAGACCAAAATAATTAGCTGCCAAATCCATATTCTAGATGTGAAAAGTCTGTCTGCATCGATCTCTCGATTTCATTTGCTGACTTGTTTTGTTTTTTTTAATCAGTGCCTACAAAAGCCGACTGCAATGCAGATTCTAGAAAAAATTCCAGGAAAATATCTTACGAGCAAGATCTTTTGTGAAATTTATATCAAACCATCAAAGAATGGATAATGTAGAGATCAAATATAAGACAAAACATATACAGTTTTCCAATAACAATAGCAGCACTGTCACATTCCTCGAGTCCTTGTCTGCCTCAACTAACGATCTTGCTACGATATGGAAAAGAACGACCTATCAGAAGACATGTCCGAATTGTGGCACATTCAGTTGATTTTAGCTTCAGTGAAGGATGGAAGAGGACCGAAGGGTGTCGGCTACAGTTTTGGAGCTGCTTCCGAGCAATAGGTGGCGTGCATTAGCCATTCCTAAACCCTGTACCAACCAAACTTGTAGGGTGTGTGACTGCACTTCAGAAAACGCCTCCTCCAACACTAAGAAGATTTTTCCATTGATAGGTAATAGCTAATCTCCTCTCACCTATGTGTTCAAGAGGAGATAGCTTACAAAGTTCCAGCATTGGGAGAAGGTATATGTACATTCACGACACCTCAAATTTGAAAACAAAAACATCTGGCCATGAGTTACTAATAAATTTGACATCAATAGCCTGTTCCCGTCATCCATGCGTCCACGAAGAGAGAGAATACCAACTTCTCGGAGAAAGGGCATATATTGGTTCATTCACTGCACCTCAAATTCGAAACTATGATGAACATCCAGGGATCGACTACAAAGCCAGTTCCTGCGGTGCTAATGAAGGATTTGATAAAGACCACTAACTAAGAAAAAACAAAACTAAGCAATCTGTTTGATCAAAAGTTGAAGCCGAACAAGGTATAAAAAGTAAAAACTCGGCTGGATGGAATTATTGCTATGCTAGTTGGAGGTTTTCTGTTTAGTTACCAATCCCACATCAGTTGGTATTAAGATGAGAGAGGCTATAAAACAAGCGGCCCAGTATATCACAAACATTTAGGACTTGAATTGGGCAGGGGCCGCGCGAACGCAGATCACTAGCTCTAATGATCTTTCTACACAGAACCATATTGGGCTTATAATTTAAACTTGACTTGGGCAGGGGCCGCGCTAACGCAGGCCCCCTCTACCACATATTATGACGTAGGCTCGACCACTTGGGCCGACCTTAGGCGGGCGCCCCTCCAAAGTGCAATGGAAGTCGCCAACCTAGGCCATGGGTCTTCTTGATCACCCATTGACCCCGTCCAGGTAAGTATGTAAAACTAGCCTACTAGGTCTTATTTTATAATACTGCTGAACCCCTCTTTGATTTTGCTCTTCCGATGTGGGATGTCTGAAGAGTAAAACCAGTCCCAAAAGAGTTACACACTATATACATTTCGGTTCTCCATTCCAAGAAATTGCCACTAACATTTTGCTATTTGTATGATATATTTCAATTTTAGTGCAAACGATATATAAATTCTAGGATATATTGAACATAAATTTGGAGAATTTCACTTGATGCAGGCAAAAAGTCAAAATAATTAGCTGCCAAATCCAAATTCTAGATGTAAAAAATCTGTCAGCATCAATTTCTTGATCTGTTTCGTTCTTTTTTGTGTGCCTCAAAAACTAGCCGCAAAATACAAATTCTATAAAAAAGCCTTACAAGATATTTCCAGCAAAATATCTTCCAAGCTAGATTTTTTTTTTGTGAAAATTCATTTCAAATCATTAAAGAATGGATAATGTAGAGATTGAATATAAGACATAAAACATTCAGACAACTTCCAAGAACATTAGCAGCACTTTTACATTACTCGATCCCTCCGTCTGCCCCTCTACCGACAACCTTACTATGATATGGAAATAAACGACATATCAGAGGACCTGTCCGAATGGGAGCACATTCAGTCGAACGATAACAACTCAATACACAATAAAGACTCAAGTTTCCCTCCAAATGATCATGAAGGCCTGCCTGTCTCGACTCGACACAACAACGAACAAATTCACGAGCAAAAGCCATTGTTGTCATCTCGTGGTGATGATGATAGAGAAGATGGAGTCGAGAGGGCGGGAAGTGGTGTAAAGAAGTCAAAAAAATTGAATTTGGGAGTCTTTAATTCGGGTTTTTTTGGGATTTTTCTTGGGATAAGAAAATTTGATTGCTTTAAGGTTGGATTGTGGTCAGTTTCTGGAGTTGCAGCAGTTGTTTTAGCGTCCCTGTTGCATAGGAGAGTGCTGAAGTGGTGGAAATCAATGCAGATGGAGCATAAGGAGTACCTATTACTTCTCATCAAAGAAAAAGACCAGGTCTGATTCAAGATTTTTGCATATAGTAAATAATGGTTATTATTGATGAAATTTGAAAATAAATTACTTATAAGTAATCAAGTTTAAAATAAATAAAGGTTTTTGTAGATAATAATTATTAACGAGTTACTTATTATGCTAAAGCAAGAGTTACTTTGAAATTAAGCCCATGTTTGGTACGAATTAAAATTCAACTTAAGTCAAAGCCAACAATTAATATTAAGCATATTTTTCATGAGGCTCATAGTTTTTCAATCACACATTTCATCAACTCCTCAAAATCTAATTTTAATCTCCGCCAAACATGGGCTAAGTAATTTTTTTATTATTTAGAGAAAGATGTAGTTTATCCGAATATGTTTGAAAATAAATTGTTACTTTAAATGAACTTTTACTTATTTTTGAGCTTAGTCAATCATGGTTCAACATTTCAACTTTTGATATTAAAATGTAAAAAGGTTTCGAGTTTTTAATGTTATTCATGAATTTTACTTGGGAGTTAAGATGTCAAATAGACATCAAACTGATTAGGCAACGTATAAAAAAGCACATAAAATTTACATGGATCAACAATTGACTTTAGTCCGTGAACTCATACACAAATACTTCACTCGAATAACTAAAAGGGAAGAATAAAAAATTGCGACTCATAGTCAACTTTTCAAGGAAATTGCATATGCTGAAGCAATAGATACACACATTTGCTTAGCGAAGAATGATTTATATCATCTTTTCAAAATTTATTAAGAGTAAGATTTAATATATCGTATTAAATTGTATCTTGTACTATTGAACCTGCGAATCATTTTACAACTCTTGTATATTTGCTAGGCGCGTGTTTGGCTAATCTTAAAGAAAAGCAATGTTACTTTTAATTAAACAAGTTACTTCTTCTTAAAGTAACTTTTGCATTCCTATCAAAAGAAGTTATTGATTTCCAACCTCGACTAATTTAAAAAATTATTAATTTGAAAATTACTTGAGCAAAGTAATTTACATAATGTAGTTCATAGTTTCATAACATAGTTATAACCATTGGCTTTTTGGCTGTACTTTTTTTGCAGAAAATAAACCAGCTTTTGCTCCGAATTGCTCAGATGAATGAAATTTTACTTGCACGCCGGAAAGTACCAGTTCTTCGAGTAAACTGAATAGATTGTGCGTTGGAATCATTGTTCCTCATTCCATCTATCTTATTTTTCTCAATCGCCTGAATCTTTGGAATGATGCTCAAACCAAGTTCTTCACCAAATCTTGTGACAACAGCTCGAATGGGCAATTTACAGATGCAGGGGAGATTTCAACCTTTTTTTACTGCAACTTTTTTGAGAAAGGCATCTTGAAATGCTTATGCTGGCAGAGTAAAATGCTGTAGTCATGTATATTTTCAGTGTCTAGTGTTATGATATTGAACTGTTTATGAACAAAAGTACAAGCAGTTACTATTTCCTATATAAATTGGTGCTGGAATATCTTGATTTTCTTGTTGGGAGGCAATTCAAGAAATTTATGGTATGTTTGGTACGTGCTACTGAATAAGAACGTACAAGATTTAGAAAGTTTGGTATCCTCTACAATACCATACATGCCCCTAGAAGACGTCGAAAGTGAATGAAAGCAGCAAGTTGGGCGCTAACAATTTTAACCGTATACTTGTGATCAAGCCCTACTTCCATTTGTGTCAACGAATTTATAGCAAAACAGGAACTTCACCACAGAAACATATCCAAGAAAGCTCAGTCTGCCTCCAAAATATCAAAAAAAAGGTTCAAATAGTTCAGAAAGCACGTCATGGGAATTGAAATTCTAAAAATTTAGAGAACCTAGAGCAAAACATGTTTTAACTGAAAGTACAATAATTTGCAGTGTGTCAATGGAGAATGATAAAGCAAGCACAACCCTTGGAACCTCGAGACTGTGAAGGGTAAAGTAGCTGCCAATTGGAAGGGCCTTGAGCAATCTCAACCTCATGCCATTATTTTAGCAGATCTCACGTAAAGACTGTCCACAACCTTGGCCATATTTGAAATAGTTTCTAGCGTAGCTGGATATATAGCATCTGTTTTGGGATCATCAAAAANGTAGCTGGATATATAGCATCTGTTTTGGGATCATCAAAAATGACGAGGCATCCAGCACCCTGGTCCAAAGTTCCCGCAAACTTCTTATCCAAGATCATTTGTGACAATTTCTTCTCAACGTGGTCAGCAGGCAATTCAATTAACTCAGCAATATGAGCAATCTCGACCCTCGAGAAAGGTTCAATCAACCTGCAAAGGTTCTGCTCGAGCAGTGTGTCGTACAGGGAAGAAAGGTGCCTGTGGACAATAGGATCTTCCTCTAGCTGAGCCTTATAATTTCGAAGAGCAGTCTCGAAAAGCTTCAACGAGCGTTTTGAATGAGCATCGGCGATGGCTTTCATTGCATCGAGTTCTGGGCCCTGATATTGCAAGCCCACCTTGGGAGATGATATTATTCCTGCAACATCATCAGCTTGGCTAACCATAATTTTGCAGAGCAACATGTACTTGAGGCTATATATGGCCTGAGGATCTTCGAGGGCATTGAAAGCTTCAAAAGCTTCATAAAAATAGCTATAAGCAGTTTTGTAATCCTTCTCTTCTGCATGAAGAATCCCACTTTGTAAATCTATAATGCCCTGCTGAGCCGGAGGCACGTAAATAGCATTGGCAGCTGTTCTTGCAGCAGTAAGTGCAGCCTTAGCTTTAGGAAGGTTCCTCAAAGAAAAATGGAGCTTGCTCTCCAACAAATCTATATCAACAAGCAGCAGCTTATCATCTAATCTTCTCACTTCCTTGATCAGCCCTGAAAGAAGATTCAATGCTTCAGAATATTCCTTGTTTTCCATCAAAAGAGCTGCAAGTCTTGCCTCAATTCGCTGGCGAAGGAAAGTTCGCTTCTCTGCACGGGTCCATAGCACAATTTCCTTGCAGAGGGCAATCTGAAGATCTGAAGTGTCTGGTATTTTGGCTACTGCATCAACAATTCCACGGACAATTTTAGCAGTTTTTGCTTTGGGTATCAATGAGAAGAAGGGCAGAAGCTGAGTCAGTAGATTTTTGAGTTCCTCGGCTCTGTTTTCTTGTCTAAGAAGATCAGAGAGATTGGAGATGGCCTGTTCTTTTATCCTTAAGGCCTCAGAAGAAGATGAGGGATTGTCAAGTATGCGATAGAGGATAGATATTGCCTCGGATGGGGTTTTAGTTTCAGTAGCCTGAACAAGCGAATCTGTGGTTGCTGGAAGATATGAAGACGACATGGTCACAGCTTGCAGATTATAGGTCCTGCAGTTTAGTCAACATTGCGATCAGATGATAGAGATTCTACTATAGAAAGCAAGACAAGGCAACAAATTTCACCTCAAATTACAACAAAGATCAAGTAACGTGCCATATGGTGTGGGCTAGAAAAGCAACGTACACAGGGAAACTAAGAATGCACCGCATTCAAGGTTGGACATCAACAAAACTTTCCCTTCATAAATCCATTTTGCTATCACACATGAAGAGCTTGTTTGGGAGTGTTTATAAACGATTTAAATTATAAATACATAAAAAAGTGGTAGATATGTGGGTAGTACTTGTGGTTACCTCGAAGTGCAGGTATAAAAGTGACTTGAGTGTTAATAAACGGTTTATAAGTAAGAGCCAAACATAGGCTAAGATTGAAGATAGCACATGCTATACTAACAGCAGAAAAAATCACTGATGAACCTAAGTTTTACTAACAAGGTTTTATCTTTCCTAGTGAACTCAAAATTGACAAAAGAAGGTAAGAAAAATGTCTTCACAGAGATTCAATTCTATCATTTCATTTCACGTGTGTCAAATTGACATGAACAAAGGTTAGATTAACAAATTAATTGGCTTCTCAGAACACATATTTCTACTATCTGAACAGTGAGAATTATCAGTTGAGAGAAAAGTTTCTAGGTGAACTCGAGGAACATTCTGGAGATAAATAAAGAAACTTTGCGCTACCAAGGAACAGAGAGAGCACTACCATTTGTCTCCATCACTCCCACATACATGTATATATTAATCAAAATCCAGTAATTCACGATTCACGTCATATTATTCAAATCAATTCACCCCATTATTCAATTAAAATAAATAACACAAATAATCTGGAATCAAGATTAGAGTAAATCTCGTGACTCCGTAATGTGTATCCTGTTCAAAATACCCAGAACTCTGTTTTACCAAACCTGATTATAAAGTAAGTCCTCTTCTAAATAATCAAATATATTTTTTAAGGATCCTTAAAGGTGAATAAAAAGTTTATAGTTAGCAATCTTTCAATAAATTAATATTCATACTCCTGTACAACAGTTAATATTGAGGGCGTGTTCGGCAGAGATTAAAATCGTATTAAAATTGAAAAACTAGCTGTTATTGTTGACTTTTATTAGACGAGTGAGACCCAACAACGGTCATATTTTCAATTTTAATTGAATTTAAATCGAAAGCAAACAGGCTCTGAGTTTCAATCCTTGCTTTCTGTTTCCTACATATCTATTTAACCCCAAGAATATCCAAGAACATTAACTCTTTTATAAGCATGATTTTTATTTTCCTAACAATCAAGAACAACTTGAAGTTGAAGAACTTAAAACAAAAGCGTTGAATGAACAACATAGTAAGTGCTCTTCTTCTTGAAAGTAGAGTTTCTAACTGAACCTCCGAGGATAGGTATCAAACCTGCAGAAGATCATCATATACAACACACCTCACTGTATCTACAATTTTAACATGCTAAGAAAATCTTTGATAGTTTTGAAGTAACAAACATCTGCCCAAATAGATTGTAATCATTTGAAGCCTCAAATCTTGAACAGACTGCTACATTTAACAGAAACCCTAAAAGTACTATTCCACCCAATTCACTGAATAAGGCAGCTACGAGCTTTTCCCCCAATTTTATACATTCTCCTCTCATTCCGTCAAAGCACAGAGGATCAAAAAAAGGGTAACTATTACTCCCGCTTGTAAATGCATAATGGTCAGATTAGGCTCAAAAAGGACATCCATACAGCTCCATACTAGTGAAATGCGAAAATGATCACTTTGCAGACACTTTAACATCAGATTCCAACTATCTTTCAGAATTTTTTTCCAATAAGTGTAAATATAAAAACTCAACCACAAAATATATCATCATATAGGCCAGGCCGTTCATATTCTAAGTTTTGACACAAAAAGTCCCGTGGAAATGAGGCATCATTTTTGCAACTAAAAGACAATATCATTCAACATCGAATTGTTTTTAACAAGTCTAAATGCTGAGGCCTTGCAAGCAAACAAACTGACCACATTAAACCTCCAAAAACACACTTTCTGCAGTATTAGGCAGAAGAATATTCCAAGTCCAACCAACCAATAAAATTTCTCTTCCCATAATAATCCCAAAATCAGGTACTAAATGAAGATTATAAGATTCAATTATACATTTACAAAGAAAAATATAATCTTTTACACAATCCCTAAAAAATGATAGTGAGTCTGCAATCAAACTAGCGAGGCAAATCTCATAAACAAGAAGTACGGATTTATATACATGAAACTCGAATCTTCCAAGAAATCAACAAAATGCACAGTATATAATGAAATCGGTAAAAACAACTAAACGAACCCAGAGAATGAAAAATACAAGTTTCGTGCAGAATTTAAACCACAATTCTAACTCGTTAATATTCCATTTTTCAACAGTCTACATAGCATGAAAATTATTACAAAGGAGGAAAAAATGAGATGAACCCAGAAGTTAAAAAGTCGAGATTTGTGCAAAATTCTGTCTTCAAATGTTCCGAATTCAAATGGTTACGCACCTTGAACGGTAAGATTCGTAACTATTAAGCTGCGATTAGCGATCCAGGAGCGGAATGAAGATCTATGGATTAGGGCTTATATGTGAATGTATATTTAAGGACTATCAAAAGAGGTAACCCATTTCTCAAGTCTTGTCCACTGTCCCCTGGTTTGAAAAAAAAGAAAGAAAGAAAAAAGGGTATTTTTCTCCAATTTGCACTCACAGAAAATAAAATATAAATATGAAAATTAAAGGCAAATTTTCCAATGCCCTTGTTTGTTAGACTAAAAATTAATTTTTTAGTAGATTTTAATAAAAATTAAAAGAATATGAATTAAAAAATAGACGAAATATGTATGTCTCATTAAAAAATTAATTTTTGATTTGATTTAATGTTTTAGCAAAATTTTAACAGTTCTGCTATGTGTACAAAAATAATAGCCAGAATTCCTCGGAATGCACTTGGCAATTTTGTATTGAAAAATGATTTTAAAAAAAAGAGGGACCAATTAGGGACTATATAGTCAAGGTGTAATGTTTGCTTTTACTTTTTCATTTATTTAAATATTTAGCCCTTGTTTGGTGTAGTTAAAAATTTGATTTTAAGTAAATTTTGATAAAATATACGTTTGAAAATATGGTAAAAGTTGTAAATCCTAATAAATGTATGAATTTTACTTGAATTTTAATTATTTAAGCTACACCAAACATGAGTTTATTTAAGTTTGGTAAAAATAAGTTATGTTTGTCTCTCATTTTCTAAAATTTATTTTTCACTAAACTCATTTTTAATCAATTATTCTTGTAATCATAAATATACAAATATTCGTAACATTTTAACTACACTTTCTTTAAAAAAAAATCAATTCTCAAAAATCAATTTCTTCAATCTCTAACCCACTTTCCTCCGTTGCATCCCCACTCCCCAGCCTTCAAGAGTCTTGCTATGAACTCTTTAAAGATTCTGCCCTATCCCTTCTGACTTTTCCCATCTCCCATCTTCCTTCTTCTGGGAGAAGGGGAACACAAGGATGGGGATGCGACAGGGGATTAGGATGAAATGAAAGAATGTGACGAGAGAGTTTTGAAAATGTTAATCCAAACAATTATTCTACGTAGGCTTGTTTGTCAAAGATTTTTTTTAAAATCATTTTGCTCAAAATTATTTTCAATCACACATTTTATGTGATCTACAACTTTTTCTCACACATCATTCAAAAAAATATTTTTTTTTCTTGAAAAAATATGTGCCAAACAAAATTAATAAGCGACTTATTTTTCATTTTTCCTTAGTCCAAATAATTAACTTGCTAGCGTTTCTATTTTTTTCATTTATTGTTTCACGGCACTAGTTTTTCCACCGAGGAACATATTGAGCTTAAGTGGTTCTCCTAACTTAGTTGGACCGGTTCATTACCCATTCCTAATGTTGCTTAGGTGTCACTCACCTATTGGTAACTTATGTGTGACCCGGATTGTGTGTTTGTTGAGGATTATTTGTGGCCCTTGATTCTGATCTACGATTAGGGATTAATTCCTCTCTTGATATTTTACTTGGGCTTTGACTATTGGAATGTCTTCGACTTCTCTCCTTCTCTCTTCGATGCTGCCGGTTCTTATGCTCTCAATCGAGAGCCATACTTCTCCCCTTTCTACACCCTAAATTGACCTTGGTAACCTATTCTAGAGGGGAGGAATACCTGTGTGATGCTCAGACCTGGAACATGATTGAGTTATTTGGTTTATTCTAGAAGGTTAGGTCAGAATTTAGGGTTCTTGGCTGCTTTGGTAGATTCCTTTGAATCGATGACCTTAGCTAAGTTGTTGGAGACTTTGGTTGGTTCTAACTCTCTGGAGGGCGTTTTTGCATAGCATGGAAGTTGTTCCTGAGCCTATGCATTTCAGCCAAAATGAAGGGAAGAGGAACATGTAAAGGGAAGTGAATCTCTAATGTTTCTGTCCATTTAATGTTCTGTTTTCAGGTTTCTATGTTTTAACTTCTCAGTTTCGATTTATGCAGTATATATAAGTTGGAGTCATTACTTGAACTGGGATAGTAATCTGCTGATTTCTACATTGTAAATGCTATGGTATAGGTTTGATTACATTATTGTATGCTGGTTATAAGATTGGATATTGAACTGTCATTGGTTAAATGAGTCTTATGAACTCTGTTATGCTGTGAACTTTGGTGCTGCATTGCTGTTCTAATTCCTAACAGAACAAAATTTGATTTTGTGATCCTAAGGTGTCGAGTGGAAGGGCAATAGCTCAACAGAAAAAAATAACTCTAGCGGATAACATAAGTCTTTGCATTTTGCATTCCACATTCGATGGATAAAATATAGAAGTAACCATAGATGCATGAATTTTTATTGAGCATCTCGCATTCATGAGTGGAAATTTATTTGAGGATTAAGAACCCGTTTGATGTAATTTTGAATTCTATTTTTGAGACTCGTGAATTCGAATGTTTCTTGGTAACTAGTTTTGAAAGGAAACCAGACAAGTTCTTATTTAAAATTATGTTTTTTTATTAAATTATTCAAATCAAATCTCGACATATGAGAGTTTTTATCTTATAAAATAAAATTAAAATTCGATAGATATCAATCTACTGCGAACAACCCCTCGACTAGTAAAGGAACTTCAGCATTTCATAACCAATTACTCTGCAACTGACACAAAATAAAGAGGATTTGAAAACTGTTACTTCTCAACACAACAATCTCATAAAGCATCACAATATAAGACTACACGTTGCAGACGCCATCAATTGAGCCAATCTATGGGGAATATATAATCAGCCTGATCGTAGTTTCTTGTCTAGTAAATGACCAAAAGGTGGATGACAAAATGTCCCATTGAGAAATGAGTGTGCCAACACTTCGTACATGGCTTCAGTAAGATGAACTCCATCCCAATTAATGTACCGAGAAGGGTTGGTGCAGGCAGTCGACACTGGCGAGCCGCATGTACCGAGGGCGTCAAAGTTGTACGTTCCACCGCCCGACCCGCAGCAGACTTTGAAAAGCTCCCTGAAGCCATAGTTCTTTGCCCCTTTTACGATATTCGCGTAGGCATTCCAGAAGTCTGCATAAACAATGACTGCTTGTGGGAACTTTTTTCTGAGATCATTCAACTTGGCTTGGAGGATTGTGTTGTGAAGGTAACTTAGCTTGTTTAAACTTCCTACACACCCCATATCATCCCTGTCATCTGTAGGAGCCAGTGCCATGGACAGTGTTAGGCATCCTGTAGGTGGCAGGCCTTGAACAAGAATGTATTTTGCACCCTTATTTAGCAATGCCTGTGGAGCAAATACAGCCTTGGAATGTCAAGATCATGAAACTCAAGGACACGGTACGTAAATTATTTATATTGTATGTTTGATGTGTAATACTAGATCGTACCTAACAAAATAATTGACAACATTTTAACTTATTTTCCTCATTTACTATTGTCCACCATTCTAAGAGTAATTTACTTCATGTAACATATTTTTGAAGCGTCCTGCTCTATCTATTCTCCCTCTAAAAATAGAAGAAAATACTAAAAACATTCACCTATTCACTCGGATCTTAGCACTCAAAAAGTGTACATTATGCTTATGGGGGGCCTCAGTCGTGCGGGGGCAAAATGGTTCTCTTTTCATGTTATTTTATTTTATTCTTAGTTTAATAATCAGAGTAAGAATTAGGAATTCGTCTTCCCACACGCCCCAGAGTGGGCTCGTGATTACATATCACATATTCTGTCAAGATAAATTCATGTTTCAAGTGCTTATAGTTATGTCCTCGTGCTGATATTTGTTTGCAGATCATGAAAGTCATTAGTAATTCCCTTACATTACCTGAAGAAAACTGGTAACGCTATAGATGGCAAGCTTTCGAATAGTTGTACGGGAGACAGAAGTTCCAAAGCTGCTGTAAGCATAGTCATTTGCTCCAATTTCACCTACCCAAAACAGTGCATCATTTAATGCTGCCGTGCACTCTTGGCTTGTTGTTGAGCCATTACACCCTTTACTTTCCAAGAATTTGTTGAACCAAATGAGTTGTGTTTGGAGTGACTGAGGAGTAATATTGAGTGTAAGGTTGTTTTTCACAAAGAAACTATGTATTATAGCAGTGGATCCAGCAACAGCAAAGTTGACACCATACGATTTATCGGACTTTGGGTTGCGGTATGGAGGCAAGAACGGTATCGAAAGAGCCTGAGCCACGAAGTCGATCATGAGCCGTCCATCGGAGTATCGATTGGTGGGGTGGTGGAAGAATGTGGTGCCATAAGGAGGGTTTGATACATGAGTGAATGAACTAGGACCAGTGGATGAATATGTATTGCCTGTGTCTGTGTATGAATCACCAAAAGCATACACTTTCTTGAAAGGCCTAGA